TTGCTATTGTAAAGGAAAAAGATAGTCCAGTCTGACCTTGAAATCAGTCCTTCGGCCTCCACCTCTTAGCATATCCCATTGTAGAGCACACCACAGTCAACACCCATGCAGAGTGCTGTCCAGGGGACTGAAGATGTAGAATCTCTTCATGTGCCCTTTATCTACTGTGAGTGGAGATTTCGTGAATCCACACCCAGTGACATTACATCTTAGGGAAGTTCAGAGGCATGTGTGTTCTAAGAGCCTTTGCATTTTCTCCAGTGAGATTAAGCTCCAGCCATGCCTGCATAGCTGCAGATGACTTTATCAGATGCCTTCCTGGTCTCGCTTCCCTTCTGTGCTCCCCCTTCACTGCCCTCTCCTCTCAACGGATCACTTGCACTAAAAAGAAATTTAAACATTAACATTGAAATATACCTGATGACTTTATATCCATGCTCAGATGCCAAGGAGCTCAGAGAGTAACTGACTTGACTAGTAATAATCAGATATGTAGAGATTAGAAACGTGTGTGCAAACATCTTAAGGTCAATTGCATTAAAAATGAATTTTTCTGTATGAAATGGTGTATTTTAATAATGAAATGGAGATCTTCTTTAAAGGTTAAAGCCTCATTTAATTCTAGGTCTTATAGGGTTTATACTGAATACGATATTGTATAACTGTAATAATTCAACTGTAAACTTAAAAATTTACAGCCAATTTTGAAAGAGATGCATCTTAGCTCAGGAAATTGTTATTGAATATGTCAATGCTGTTGTAATGAAATGCTTCTTCTAAGTATGTGGTTAATAATAAATAACTTAAAAAAAGAAATTTGTTTTTAGACCTGTTTTGAAGAGAAACCCAAACTAAAACACAGGGAAATCTGCAAGGCTCTGTGGTAAGAGTTTAGGCTGAGGACACAGAGACTAGGCTTTCAGGGAGACCAAGGGCAGGAAAGAGTGCTCAGATCAGGACACTACACTCCTAGCCCTCAGCCCCTCCTCAGCAGAGCTGTCTTTTTCATTAATGCCCTGGAATTGACAGACAGATGTTAGTGAGTGTAAGAAATTTCTATCAGATAAGGAACAAATTAATGGCCGATCCTTTCATAACTAAGTCAAATTTATATGGAGACATACCCTTTCTAGGTAGTCGTTCATCTATGCCCAACCAATTCCTATTAAGCCTAAGGGATCCAGAGAACCTTGCTGTCTGACCAACTGCAGCAATTTCCACTGAACCCATGTGCAAATTCCCATCCCATTGTCCCAGGATCCTTGCTTAGCCTTTGGTACCCATAGACAGTGTGGTAGAAACCAAATTATCAGTTCCCTGGGAACTGGGGAGGAGGATTCACTTTCCCCCAGAGATACCCCAGCTGTGACAGTCCCTGGCTCACTCCTGGCTCTTAGTTTTCTTTGATTTCATGCACTTCTCTCTTTTTTTAAACTTATTTTTAAAATTTATTTATTTAATAACCACATAATAAGAAGAAACATTTCATTACAGAATTAATATATTCAATAACAATTTTCCAGAGCAAAGCTATATCTCTTTCAAAAATGGCTGTAAATTTTTAAGTTCACAGTTGAATTAATAGTTAAACACTATTGAACTCAGTATATACCCTGTAAGACATTAAATTTAATGAGCTTTTAACCTTAAAAAATCTCCATTTCCTTTTAAAATATACTATTTTCTACAGAAAGACTCATTTTTAATGTTACTAATGCTTAGATGTTTGCACATGTGTCTCTAATCTCTATGTATCTGATTATTACTAGTCATAGTCATTTACCCTCGGATCCTTGGCACCTGAGTATGGATATAAAGTCATCAGGTAGAATTCAATGGTAATGTTTTTCATCTCTACTAATTGACATGAAGTAAATTTTTATGCTTCCTCCTCAAATCTAAGTATTTTCTTTTTAATTTGTTGATTTTTTGTGTGTATATCATGCAGAACATCCAAATCTTATTAATCTATATACCAAATTCCCAAATGGCACCCTCCCATAGCCTCCCCGCCCCCCACTCAAGCCCATATACCTGTGACATCAGCAGGTCACATAATCTCTGTGAGACTCAATTTCATTATCTATGACTTGAACATAATGACACACCTGATGTGAAGAGCTCTATGGAGAATTATGTGGTGAAATGTAAAACTTCTGGACAGCATTTGATATTTAGAATGCACTCAGACTTTGACCATTTTAACTTTACCGTTATTTTTTCTATCACATTTCTATCACAACTATATATCTTCTAAAATATTTTTATTTATTATTTTTATTTTATGTGTATGAGTGTATTGCCTGCATGTATATAAGCCCACCCATGTGCAATGCCCACAGAGGTCAGAAGAGAGCATTGGATTCCCTGGAACTGGAGTTATAAATGTTGTTAGCCACCATGTGGGCGCTGGAAATAGAATCCAGGTGCTCTGCAAGAGCAGCCAGTGCTCTTAACTGCTTCTCCAGCCCCATCCACTATAGATCTTATACATGTACATATGCACCCTTTGGTTTTAACATCATTTTTAACAATGCATTCTCAGTGAGGGTCAGGTCACTTTCAATGCTTGTAGGATTAGCTCTTCTTTCCCCCACGAGCAGCCTGTGTGATGGAATGTGATAGGTAAGTGAAAATTGTGAGTCCTCATATACGCGTAAGGGAATGTTGCTCTCTTCTGTCTGAGGAAGACCAAGTTCCAGGGCTGCAAGGACAGGATGCAGCACAACAGCTCTCTCCTCACTTGACACTGAGCACACAACTCTCTCTCTCTCTCTCTCTCTCTCTCTCTCTCTCTCTCTCTCTCTGCTATAAAGAAAGCTGGTTTAGTGTTCTATCCTGGGCCAGGTGCCTTTGAAGTCCCACTCCCTGTTGCCAGGTTCTTTGGCAAAGAATTATTAAGGTAGCTGGCTTCTGTTCCAGTAGTGGGAGCTGCCAAATAAACTCTTAAAAACCAGAAGAAGGCAATGTTCTCTAGCAGCACACAGGAGGCAGGTCTCCCCTCCTCCTTCAATACAAGTCTTTTATAAATCGTGGCTCCCAGATACCAAAAGCATAAACACAGCATGTCTGTGCTGGACTTTCTATTATCCAGTGCAAATTGGAAAAAGAAAGCATAACGCTTCTTAACCTCCTTTAAATTTTTCTTTTACAAATAATGTAACCAAATATTGGCATCCATTGAGGGATTCAGATGGGGATGCAGGAGCAGAAGGACAAGGCCCATCACCTACTGCAGGCACTTTCTGTTTGAAGCGCACACAGTGTGATTGGGGGAGGTGGCTTCTCAGGGTATTTATGATAACTGTGCTGAGGCAAAAACTCTGCAAAGATACCTTGACCATTGAAGAAAAGTCTATTAGTACATCTGGAAGAAGAATACCTCAGAGAAATAGAGGAACATTGCCCCCATATTTCTCAGAAACACATTTTCGTGTCTGCAAAGATCAGATTGAATTGCATTTTTATCATGATATAAATTGTGCAAACAATGAGAAAATATAACATTAAAATGATATAGGATTTGGTGCTGGTTGAATATATAGACCTGGATATTTAAAACCCTATTTTCGTGCTACATTGTATCTTTTGTTTCTATATACTGTCTCAAGCTGATGTCCTGATTTCCCTGTGGAATTTTCCAAAACAATGTTTTCATTTACCTGCCACATTGCATAGTTTTTCCATAATACCAATATTATTTTGTTTCTCTGTGAGCTGGGTTCTGGCTCATAAGAGGCGGAGGGACATTTGTGAAGCCTGGGTAAATATTAAATATCAGTTATGAGCAAGAGTGAGAGAGCGAGTGAGAAAGAGGAGAGAGAGGGAGGTTGCACAAAGGCATTTGTGGGCAGCCTTCAGGTTCTTTGATAGTTTATGAGAACAGAAAATTGACAGATTCTCCTAGGCAGATGCTAACCTGGCCATCCTGCAGATGTTAATTTTCAAATAGAGTGGAGTGAGGGGACACACAAATAAGAAAATCCCTGGTATGAACTGTGGGAATGCCATTTAAGGTTATATTTAATTTTTGAATTCAATTTAAACTGTCTCCTGAAAAAAATGTATGAATAGCATTGGTTTTGAGGAATTTTAGAAACATGATTACAGATAAAGTGAGGACTGGAAAATTACAGTACACAACACACAGGGACATTTCAGATTCAGTTATGAGGTTTATTTTAGGTGTATGTGTGTATTGTCTGTATGTGTGTGAGTTTACCTGTGTTGCCTGCAGAGGTCAGAAGAAGTCATTGGTCCCTAACTACTACATGGGGATGCTGGGAATCAAACCTGGGTCCTCTGCAAGAGCAATCAGTTCTCTTAACCACTGAGCCACCAATCCAGCACCCAGATTCAATTATGTTTTAAATGAAATAAACTGAGTGTTAATTTTTCTCAAGTTTTACTTAGTTTAATAATCAGATTTTAATGTTTGATATTTTTTATTTAATGTTTGATCATGTTTTGAACTATTGAATAAGGTATTGTTCTAAATTCCATTATAATTTCTCAATATTTTAGTTCAAAGAGATAGTATAATTATTCATATTATTCTATGACATAAAAAAGATACTGAGGTTTTTGTTTTCTTTATAGAAATATAAAGTCAGGGCTGGAGAAATGTCTCAGGAGTTAAGAGAACTGACTGCTCTTGCAGAGGACCCGGGTTTGATTCCTAGCACCCACATGGTGCTTAACTCTAGTTCCAGGGGATCTGATGCCTCTTTTGAACTCTGTGGACATTGCATGACACAGATGCACTTACACATAGGTAGGAAATACACTCATACATGTAAAATAAAAATAATAAATCAAATATTCAAAACGAAGTATAAATTCAAAAAAGGTTTTGAAGGAAAATGAAATTTTATGTAATTACCATTTTCCTTCTGATTTCTCTTCCTCCGAGCATATAAAAGCGTGTGAAATAACTGAAAAAAACTAATAAAAGCTCTTAATTACAAAAAGATACTAATTATTTTCCCATTTCCTTTCAGCTCTCAGGAGAAGTGATTTTGTACCTTGCCAATGAACCAGTTCTGCCCTTCAATGCCCTGGATATAGCCTTAGCCGTTCAAAACAGCCTTAAAGGTAACTATTCCTCAAATTGTTTTAATTTTAGAAAGTGACAAGTGTTCACATAAGTTTCATCAAAGAATACATAAAATAACCATTGTCTTAATAACTAGCAGTGCTGTGTCTCTGATCCTCTGATTAATGTGAAAACACGTGGCTCGTATTTTAGTTCTCCTGGCAACAGAAACAGCATGGAAGTTTCTGTGAACCAAGTCAGAATTTGAATTAGAGTCCACCCATTTTATTTTATCAAAGATATTTTTGAACCAAAGTTTCTATCATTATTAACAGATTCGCGGTGAACCAACAGTTCAGGGACCCAACTTTTACTACCCTAGTATTATACATGGCAAACATTCTGTCTATGCAAGTTAGAATCAGAAGTTTTTCCTTTGCTGTTGGTTTCTGTGAGGTGTGGTCCCCTTTCCCTTTGACAGAGATGTTGATTCATCCCAAAGACATCAAGGAGGCAACCAAAGAATGATTTCCATAGACCCTACTTCTGTCCTTCATGCTAAAATATACATGTATGTAAGTTTCTAACACCTTTGAATTAGGTTCTTTTCTTCATTTACTAAATACAAAAGGCAACATCATAGTTAACACTATCATCCCCTTCTTCATTTACACATCCTCCTATCAAATCTTTAATAAGTCAGTGGCAGAACATTATCTTTCAGTCAAATGCTACCTCTCAGTTGAAAAGAAAAACAATGTTTTAAATACTGTGCTTAAAAATGATCCTCTGACAATAGCTGATCGTGAAGAGCCAAATATTTGTAGTTACTTAAAATGAAATACATTTTTTTGGCTCATTCCTTTCCCCAGGCCATCCCCTCTCTGCTCTTTAGCTACCTGTTCCACCATTTCACACTTCAGATTTGCTATTTCTAGAATATTAGCTTAGAAACTGGGCATCTGAGCATATGACACTTTGCAAGACAAGAAGAGAGTAGGCAGGAAGAATAAATAGCTTTGTGAATAATAACGTTTATAAAAAACCACATCTGTTTCATTCATTTTGTAACATGTTTTGTTTTTTCATTGCTTCTGAACTTTACCTTCTATAAAATTTCATTGGTGTTGCATATAATACTTTAAATTTTCAGAGAACAAAAGAGGAGGTATTTTACATTACATAAATCTTCGTCCATCTATAAAAAAGAGTTAACTATCATGTAGAGAAAGGAATCTCAAAGACTGTACTTCAAAATACTGACATTGTATATAGAATTATAAGCTTTTTCTTTTCTGGGTGAAATTTCCTATTAGAAATGTATCTGTAATAAAAGGAGAACTATATTTTTAAAGGTTCAAAAAATTAAGTAAATGAAAACAAGAGTTAACAAAATTATTTAAAATGCTATCTTTGGTTATTTTTTAAACAACTGAGTTTATTTTTAAGTATCTACAAGTAGGCACAGCAGTTCATTATTAAAATAGCTATTAACATTTTAAAAACATAGGCAACTGCTGGAGTTCAAAAAGGCCTATTATTCAAAGTTCAAAACATATTATTAATCTTGCTTTTTGGATAGTTAAAGACCCCTTTCAGTATGAGACTTATAATCTCTCTACCAAGAAAGGTAATATGTTACAATTTTGCGTACAATCCATTTGGACTCCTCAGAATCTCTTGAAATCATGTACCTAATAAATCCTAATGAGCATTCATGGCAGGCTTATTTCAAAAGACCACAAGAAGGAGAAGATGCAAAGGAGTATGAAGTGGGAGAGGAGGGGGAGGATGAGGAGAGGGTGGAGGAGGAAGAGGAAGAGGGGGACTGGAAGGCGGAGGGAGTTGCCAATTTTGTCAAAAGCCACTAAAATGCCAAGAAAAACATGGACCAAGAATTCAGCACTAGTTGAGCAGTGAGCATGTCACTATGAGCTCAACAGAAGCCATTTTGGAGCAGTGCTATAACACGAAGCCGGATTGAAGGGCTTTTCAAGAGAGTGGTCAGTTAGGAACTGAGGTGGTGTGTGAAAAGAAATGTGAAGCCAGGAATGTAAGCGCATTTTTTTATTTGATGACTTTTATTGAGGAGGCAAAATTTATTCAAAAAAGAAAAGGAAAATTATTGGGCTGATTTTCTTGAGAGGGTGGTACTTACAGTTAAAGAGATTCCTGTTAGCCCGTTTGGAATGCAATAGAAAATGCCCCCAGATTAGATAAACAACAGGAATTTGTTGCTCACTGTTCTCAAAGCTTAGAAGGTCAAGGTCCAGGCACCTCTCAGATCCAGTGAGTGGGTCCTGGTGCACAAGTGCTTATGTTTTTGTTATAACCTCATAAGGCACAAGGGGTTTGAGCAGGATGTTGTGTTTCTTTTATAAGGATGCCAATCTCGTCCTTGAGGTCTCTGGCCTCTAACCTAGCCATTTCCAAAAGACTGGATGTCCTAATACCATCACCGTGGGGGTTAGATTCACAATACATGAGCCTCGAGGACACAGAAGCAACCAGACTCACGTGGCAGTACATAACTTTACCCCTAATTGTGTGGAGAAAAGGATTGAATATGCTAGGTGTTAAATGTGCGTGGGACAGTCTTTGGAAAAATCTCTTTTTTGGTAAAGTAATAACATAATTGTGTAGGACAGAGAGAGGAGCAGGAAAACTATGAAAATGTGGCAATTTCTTGGACAGCATTAACACTACAGAAGAAATGTATATTTTAATAAATACATGCTAAGTGTGATAATTCAGCATAATTATGCATTTCTTACATCCTTCAGATGGAGCTGTAGGTGTAGGTGAGAAGTTTATTTTTTCTTGCCCTATCAGAGGTTGACGGTTAGACTCCTACAACAAAGGTAAAGTGGGGATATATTTATGTAACATGAGAACTGTGGGTAATGAAGACTCAAAGGAATAGAGAAAGTGTGTATTTTACACAAAATTTGATGAAAGAATAGATAGCCGTGCAGAAGTCAGACTGGCAGGCAGAAAGGTAGGACTTAGTGTCATTAACTGTTGGACTTACCAAGTTCTGGTTATTTCATCTGCACTCTGGCCTCTGTCTCTATATCTAAAGATAAGGCTCTTCCTCCCTTCAGCCATAGAGAGAGCAGCTTTGGTAAGAAGGTTTTATCTCTGACCTCAAAAGTGGTTCAGAAGCTACTTTTATGATCTGATTTTGGGGGCGGGGGGCAATCAGGAAGACCAGAGAGACCTTCTTGTCCCAGCTCTTTCATCTGATGTCAAGGTGCATATTTGGGGTTAGTGCGTTCAGAGCCCCGTCATGCCTAAAGCAAGCAGATGCAGATTCAAACATCTTCTTTGCTGAGAAGATGATAAACTATGTAAGATCATGAAAACTAAGAGGGTGTGCTAAGGGACACTGAAGAGGATGTGCTAAGGGACACTGATAGCCAGGAACTGAAGGAGTACAGTGCAAAGATGGAGATGGAAAGGAAAAGGGTCAATAGACTGCATGTCTCCATGAGATCAAAGACTGGGATCATGTGGGCTGATAGGACAGAACTGATAGGCAGCAAAGAAGATTCTTTCTGAAAAAATTGTTACTGATTGGAATTTCATACATTGTGTTTGGATCATACTCACTCTCTCCCCTGAAGTCCCCTCGATCTACCTCCTCTTCCCTCCACACCCAACTTTTCTGTCTTCATTTCGTTTTAAGCCTGTGGAAATCTTTTTGTGTGCTCGTATACTCTTGTATGTGTGGCACCTGCCAGGGTTCACATCCTTAAAGAATACTAACTGTCCTGCTCCCAGCAGCTATCAGTTGCCCATAGTTCCTCAGCTCTGGTGGGGTTCTATGCCCACTCACCCCTCCATGTGTCTGGTTTGAGCTTGTGCAGATCTTTGTGCAAATTGTCACAGCCTCTGTGAGTTCATAAGTGCGACTGCGCTGTGGTGTCCAGAAAACACTGGTTCATTGCTATAGTCCACCATCTTATACTCTTTCTGCCTTCTCTTTGGGGACTACCTCTAAGACTTTTGGAGTAGGGATGTGATAGAGGTTCCCATTTAAAGCAGAATACTCCCAGTCCCTTATTCTCTGTGCCTTAATCATTTGTGCGTCTCTGTGTTCATTGCTTTCTACTGCAAGAAGAAGCTTCTCTGGGGAGAGTTGAAAGATGCACTGATCTATAGATACAGCAATAAGTCATTAAACGTTAGTTTAATACTATGTCCTTTTAGGAGAGTAATAGTAGTAGGTTCTCCTCTAGGGTCTATGATCTGTGTAGCCACAGGTTTTTGTCCTCAGTAACAGCAGTGGCATCAACTATGGGTTCCATCTTGTGAAGCAGGCCTTACATACGGTAGTAAAGCACTGGTTACTCCCATGATAGTCATGCCAGTATTGCCCCAGTGGGCCTAGTTCCCCAGATCAGCCATTATTGTAGCTCATAAGGTAAGGTTGATGATTACTTTTCTCCTCCAGTAGTGTACATAGAGCACTACGAAAGCTAGCCAGTAGGGATGAAGCTTCCAGGTCAGAATCAAGATGGGGCAGGGGCAGGGGGATGAAAGACGGGTGTGTTTGAAAATGACCAAAAGTCATTATGTAAATGTTTGGAAGAGTCAAACAGTAAAATAATTTAGAATTTAAAAATTTAAAGTTTTGTATCAATAAAAAAGTGTAACAATAGGAGGAGGAGGAGGAAGAGGAGGAGGAGGAGGAAAAGAAGAAAAAGAAGGAGGAGGGGGAGGAGGGGGGAGGAGGAGGAGGAGGGGGGATGAGGAGGAGGGTGAGGAGGAGGAGGAGGAAAAGGAAAGAAGGAAGAGAGGGATGGAAAGAAAGAACGGTGCAGTGCATCGTGGAGATAGAGTAATAGTGGTGTACAGGTCATTAGAGGACCTTGGGAATGAGGTGGTTACTGATAACAAATATGGCAAAGAAGAGACCAGAGCACGTCCATGTGGGCACTGAAGTTTCTAAGAGTTAAGACAGGAGTCAAAGTTAGAGGGAGTGACCAAGGCCTAGAGAGTAAGTAAGTAGTCATCCAGAAATCTCTCAGATTACTCTCTTCTGCCCAGGGGAAGG